AGACTTTTAAAAAAAGGTGCGCTAAGTTCTCGAAGCGCACTTAATCAGTAAAATCAACTATTTCTTTAAAACTATTGTTATACAACTTTAAAACTATTGTATACCAAATTAAAGATCTCGATGAGCTGAAGACGACGAACTATGTCTCATTTTGGTAAGGTGCACTGGATCTGAGAAATCGGGCCCGGAAGGAAGCGAGTTTTTAAAGGTTTTTGATGCGATAAAAATGTGAAAATAGTTATGATGTGAAATAGGGCTCGTTGGAAAGCTTATCTACTATCATAACGTCTACTATCATATCGTCTACTATCATATATATCGACTGTTGGGAATACAAATAGGCACAGCGCTCATATCTATTTGGCCGCCTTCTTTGTCGATTGAACGTGAAAACGAACTGTTGATACCAATATAAATAACTAACATCATAGTTTTGAGACAATATTATTAGACTTTAAATTAGAGCTTATTCTAAATTATAAAAAAAGATAATTAGAAACATTTATGCATAAGTTTCAATTATAGGTCAGCAAAAATTAAATAGATTATTGTCAATTTAACGGGTTACACAGTATCCAATTTTATATTAATATTGTCCATATTCATATTACTTTAGTTTATATAGAATAATGTATACATTTGATTTAATTAAAGCTGGGAATAATTTTAATTGTACCACAAATTATCATTATCTTTCGAGGACTCGAAACGTATACACTCGTGGACAGAAAGTTTGTTTGTAATTTGTGGAGTGAATTTGTTAATTCATGCGTCTTATCCGGGAGAATCCTTCCATTAGACAACATACAGAAAAATACATACTGCATTCAAGTAAATATTACTTGTTTCAAGGATCCCATAAGTTTACATATCCGCAAATCTATCATAAATTCATCATAAGTATCAAATTTATTCAAGGTTCGTTCTGAATCCTAGTAAGTTTCATACGAGCATTTCAATGAAGAATATTAAATTAAAATTCGGTTTACTAAATTATATAGAGTCAAAGCTTTTTCTTAAAACTTTTTCTTCGACAAACTTTTATAATATTTTTTATAAAGAGAATAAATCCTTCTCTTTAATGTATGATACAATGAGCTTTTCTCAAATTCGTGTGATGAATATATTTTAAGACTATTGACAAGAAAATATTCTCTTCGCTGAAAGTGACCATTACTTAAAAATAAGCTGAATAACCGAGTTTCTCTTAGCGATAGAACGCTACTTTTCTGTGTGGAAACGGAGAGAGAAAGAGTTTACAAAAAGTCACTCCAAAAATTGCGTATATATACACCTTTTTTTTGTCCAAGGAGCGTGCGTGTAACGATCGAGAACAGGGCTTGAAAATTTTGTGTATACCTAAGTTCCTTTGCGCAGATATAATCATATTGTAAAACAGTTGTGTCGTGAAACTTACGTATACGCAAAAATGTCAAGAATATGAGCCCAGCTCGCAACGCGGAAAAGCATGCTGCCGTGACAGCGGACGCATTTGCAAAATTCGCCGTAACTGGATACGGTTACGTTAATGTTTATTAACAGCGTGTCGCACCCATGGCGAAGCTCGCGCTCAAAGAAGCTACATAATTAATGACGATGGGCGACGGGGATACGTAATAAGAAACTGCGTTAATGCACATCGCGAAACCTAATTATCGGCGCGGACGAGGGTAAGAGGAGAGCCCGCGTCCTGCGAAAACTCGCCTGTATTGGCCCCTTATGAATTTCTTGCGCTAAGATTATTTAATGAAAGGAATATAAAGCGACACGCGCGAGGGCGCGTCGTTCGAAAGTACGAAAGGCGATGCAAAGCGGCACGAGGAACGGGAGAAGCGAGAGCGCAGGCAGTCTATTATGTACCGAGTCTAATAACAGCTTACCGGAGCTTACTAAAGCTTCCTGAGAGCCTCCCGGGAGCAAAGTGATTGTTACAGATATCGAGCGTGGCAACAAAGAGGCAGGACCGATGAGATTTTCAGAAAAAGAGGGCTCCGCGCGCTCCTTTTTTCATGCTAATAACTTCCGTGCGGGAGGATTAGGGAGAGGTGGGAATCCAGCCGTGGTTCGTTGTGACCGCGCAAAAGTCCCGGTGATCTTCTGAGTGGTCCTACTCCGCGAAAGTCGTAAGAAATGTGCGCGCGGGGGGAGATCCGCGACGATATTTCCCTAGTCGTTCCCGGCGGACAGCACGGTCCGATCGAGTGCGAGTCTTATTTATCTATGATAAATGCCACACCACGTGCTGTGGTAGAAAATATCGTTCAAAAAACGAAGAAAAGGAAGAAGAGAAAAATAAATAGTCCCAATAGTCGTCAGGAGAGAGAGAGAGAGAGAGAGAGAGATTAATTTTTATTTCGCATTAACGTTACAAATGGAAAATACGTGGACACGCAATTTATTTGCAGTCACACGTGACTGTGAAAGATAAGGGGCACAGCACGGAGGGGTCCGGGGATTACCATATAAATAAAAGAGAGAGAGAGAAAGAGAAAGAAAAAAAAAGTAAAATTGGCAATCGATCACCTTCGCAATTGAAAACGCGCCCGGGTGTTTTTACGTGACCGCTTATGACACGCGATACGCGTTTATCAATTTGATGGATCGTCTATATCTGTCTGTGGATCGTCGACTCATTTTTACTGCCCCTCTCCTCTTTTTGCCCCCCGAATTTATATGCATATTTGCGAGAAGTCATTTAGTTCATTCCCGATCGCGCGTTCCTCGTCCTTAAACGAGAGCGCGATTTTCAGACCGAAGATATCTCGCATTATCCGCGGGGATTCGTAAACGGGATTCGTAAAGGCGCTCGTGAGCAGAGTACTTTTGACGAGAATGTCGATTAGTGTGACATCGTTATCCCGGCTGGGACGATCGATCCCGATTTACAGGAGCGAAACGGGGAAAACCCGTCGAATGCCGGCAGGTGAGCTGGAATTTCGCGCGGGACGAGATAATTGGTCGCGCGGTAATCGAGAAGATCGTTTGTCTCCCGCGACCGACAAAAGAGAACGAGGAAAGAATAACGTTGTTCTTACCTTTCCGGAGCCTCTTGAATTGCATAGGAGAACACCGGCGGCGTGGATCCTGTATTCCTTGTCGAGTTGCTCGTGTTGCCCTTGAATTTTCCTGCGGACAAGCGACGTGAAAGGAATAATTTAGGAACGTCTTATAAGGACGCGTGAGTGCGTGAGCGCGCGCACTTTGAAAAGGGGTGCTCTCTCTCCGCGTCGTTAGATTAAATATATTATGATATTAAGTTACAAGCGCAAAGAATAAGACGACGGTGGAGCAGAATTCGCCAATTCGCGAAACTACGTTATATGCTCTCAATTTGTTGAATCACAATTTACTTGATAAACAGAGCCCTGTAGTTCTTACCGAAAATTTGCCTCACGTAACATATTCGAATCTGAATTTAATGTTATATATATAGATTTAAATTTCTTATATTTGAATCATATAATACATTACATTTATAACTGCGTTTCAGCTAAAAAAACTCACAGTCACTCTAAATTCAATTCTGAGTATTTCACTTGAGGCAAGTTTCAAGTAACGCCTATTAAGGGGTTGCCGGACATGAAAACTTTACCAACATAACATTGACTCTTTTTTGGAAAGTTTATATCTTGTTGCTTGCACAGAATTAGAAACGCTTTTACACAACAACAGTACATACAAAAATTGATTGGAGCATTGTTCAATATGTGATGAAAACGAAAAAAATGTGTTTAAATTTAAATTTTGAGCTGTCAGTTAGTTCAATATTTATTTAATACAAACATTCTGTAGGTTGTACATACCAAAACTGTAGATGTTCCAATCAGGAAAATTTCAAAGATCACTACTACACTTTCAGAATTTAGTTTCAATGCCAAAAAAGATACGGAAAGTTTGATTTAGATAATTTGAGAGTATTATTATAGTTGTTTTTCTATGCGTAACAGCAATAATTAAATAATAACCAAATAAATTAAATAATAACCGAATAAAGAAGTAATGATACTCGAATATCAAATGTTAGTGATAATAACATCTGTTCCACAATCGTGTGATAATATCCGCGAGTGTATATTATAATAACAGAATAACAATGATCGAATAATCGGTAATAACAATGAATAACAATAACTGGGCAACGACGATAATAACTGATGAAAGACGAGGTAAAGAAATTGTCATAACAGCACGCCTGAGTTGCTTTCCTATGCGTAATAGCAATAATTAAATAATAATCGAATAAAGAAGTAATAATATACTCGAATATTAAATGGTAATGATAATAATTTCTGCTCGATAATTGTGTGATACTATCCGTGAATGGATAATTACGAAATAATGATGATCGAATAATGGATAATAACAATACTTGGGCAACGGCTCTAACTCTAGGCTTCACAAAGACTAGGTAAACAGACTCTCGTAACGGCCCACTCGTGTCGCTGACTGAACGGCGCTTGGGGGGGGGGG